CTTATTTTTACGATAATTTAAAATAAATCAATTAGAATATAAACTGAAGCTTTCAGTGTATAGTATATAGAGCAGTATAAACAAGTCATTGTATGAAATTTTAGTTTGTTGTGACTTTGCTGGTGTTTTTTATGTAGCCTGTTTAAACTAGGCAAATACCTAGATTAGTTGTTTTTCCCCCCGGAAGACCTCTGTGTACCCCCAGGGGTGCGCCTACCCCTGGTTGAGAACCACTGCACTAGTGTACACATGTGTGACACAGTCTTTATATAAGTGCCTGTTAACTTATCTATAGAGGGTTGGATGTGGGAGGCTGATTTGGTTAGTGTATTGTATTTGTCTTCAGAGATCTGTCACCAAGCCCAGCCTAAAATATAGCTCAATATGCAGGGACTAAGTGGAGACTCAAAATGCGCCAAGTGTAGAACCTTCAGCAAAGTTCTTAGCGCTATAGATATTTCAGAACTTCCAGCCTCCAGTTGTTCAGTATAGTTGATATAATGACCTAAGAAACTGGCCTAATATCGAGCCTGACATTTCTTGCAGTGAGTAAAAAGGTAAAGACTGTGCAATTTGGAATTGAAGTCTCTGTTGAAGAGATGTGAAGGAAACACTTGGTGATTCAATCTCTGGCTAAAATAGAAGGGTTAGGATGCATAAATCTGTTCCCTAATCCAGTGTTAAAATTGTAATGAGAACTAATCAGAAATCAAGGGATAAAAATGGTAGTGCTATCCATATGTGAGATGTGAAAGGAGACTGTTATGTCTCTGTGCATACCACAAAGTGACATGTCTATTTAGGATTATATGCTGTTTCTCACCAAGATTTTTTTTCTAAGCGTTTGGTATATTTTTCTGTCATGTCATGCCTAGGTGATTTCATATTCAGGTCCATTCAGAACATTGTGGCATGCCTTCTTGCCTGTATGTGTGCCATCGCATCATCTCTAATTCTGAAAGGTCTCCACTTGTTCCCCTTCCACTACAGTTTGCTCTCCTCATGTTCAAGGGCTCCTTCACTTTTCAATCTTTGCTCTGTCAGTTTTGATCATCCCTCCTGTGTCAGGTGCTGAATTTTATACTCTCTCTCTAAAATAGCCTTTTTGCCTTATTGAGTTCCCATCTATCTTTGTAAATAGCACAGCTCAAACCCCACCTCATCTAGGTTGTCTACAAACAGTGAGCTGTCAACCAGGTCATTGCACTTGTGCTTATCACACCTGTCCCAATCTGAATGTTCCTATCTACTGTCACCTTTCTGTAACAAATCCACTGCTGTAAGTGCTGTAGGTTGCATAGATGATGCGCTATGAAGTTGTAGAAAAGGATTCTAGAAAAAAGGACAGGGAGAGACTTCGAGTAAATAGCCTGGGAGAGAGAAACTAGAAAGGAACCATGCTAGCAACAACACCATTTACACAGTAGATGGTGAGAGGTTTGATGGGTTTGTTAATAAAAAACACCAGTGAGGGATCTTTGTTGATGGGTCATTGGTTTTAGGCAGGCTAAGAGCTGAGTTTTGAGCAACATTTTAGAAGAATGGGGAATTGGGGAGGCAGAAATAATTATGGAGCTAGTGCAGTTGCAAAGAATCAACCTCTGCTTGGCCAACGTTGGCTTCCTCTTCTGTGTCAGAGGGATAGGTTGAGACTATACCAGGAAATAAGATCACAGAGATAAATGGGAACTTGACCAAAGAAGGACCTTAAAAATGAATGGACAAATTTTGCATTGTATTCCCTATGGTTATGTGTAGTGTGATCCTAATCATGGTGTGGCAGAACCTCTTCTGTAAATGGAGAGACATACTGAAATAAAATGAATAGAAGGATTCTTGATCATTCTTAACATGTTAGATACATCCCAGGTTTGTAATAATTTTGTATAGAACCCATGCACAGTGCTCGCTGTGCTTACAATGTAAATACAGCTGGGTGGGCATCTATGACCTGAAATCTGATCTCATTGAAATGAGTAGCAAAACTCACATTGACCCAGTGGGAAGAGAACCAGGCCTTTAAAGACTTGAGGTCATCTTGAAATCTAGTCAATTTAAAATAAAAAAAAACTTCACTGTGTGTGCGCCAAATTTTGTGGGTTTACAATTTAATTTTCCTATTTTAAGAAGTATATTTTGCTCCTCTGTTGCTGTGTGAAAGACTCGCACAAACGGGGTAACTGACTATATATGAGAAACAGTTCAGTTTACTATACACACAGTACTGCCAAATGCACAAAGTAAACTGGAAAAAAGATATTTAATTCCTCTAATCTTATAATGTCAGATGCTACTTGAAAGTATAAGTCATTAAAACATTTTCACACGAGTGTGGTATCTTTTTTTTATTTTAAGATAGTCGACTTCGAAAGAATGATTGTTGACCAAATCATAATAAAGCTGGAATGTTAAGGGGTTTTTATTTATTTGTTGAATCTGTTGTAGTTTGGATTCATTTTCACTCTTCCCCTCTCCTTTTTCTCTTTCACAGAGCAGCAAAGAAGCCCTTTCAGAAGTCAACGCCACTGGAGTTGCCATGCTTTTCTCTGCTGGGACTTTCCTTTATGTTGCCACAGTGCACGTCCTCCCAGAGGTGGGAGGAATGGGGCATAGCCACAAACCTGAATCAACAGGTGGGAAAGGACTCAGCCGCCTGGAGGTGGCAGCCCTGGTCCTTGGCTGCCTTATTCCTCTAGTTTTGTCCATTGGGCACCAGCACTAAAGGTTCAAAGTCACTGTTCTTCTCCTTGATCTGGTGTGAGCAGTAAATGTCAGCTGCTCTTTTCATCGTTGTCTCTCGTACCCCATCATCCACCCCATCTGCCCTGTGGAGTTCAGAGGGAAGCTTGATTCCAACATGAAGAATTCTGGAAAAGCTTTTAGTGTAGCAAAATGTACTTTGGCAGCCGGACATAAATTCTGTGTAATTTTCTTTTCTGAAGACATTTGATATTTTAATTTTGATTTCTGGCCCCTATTCTCAGGGAAGATGGACTTTGAATTTTAAGAAAGGTGAGTGGGGAAGAATTTAATGGCTCATCATGAAATTGCAATCACCAAAGTATTCTGCAACTCAGCGTTAACAGCTGAGAATAAAACAGTGGATGGATGCCTTTTAATATGTGGAAATCTTCTTACCAGTAGAATAGGGGAACCTCCCCTACAATTTTTTTATGTTATCCTGACATATGTGACTGATCCATGTAATATCAATGCCATAAACCTTGCTGTAAAGATGCAGTAGTCAAAATTCTGGTTAAGGCACTTGTTGCAAAAGGAAAGAACTGTGGATTGGAAGAAACATTATTGGACAAAGATTAGAGGAAGTCTAGGATGTCAGAATTCAGCTAGTTAAGTACGTGGAGATGACTTTTGCATTGCATTCCCTGGATTAACACAAAGGAAACAAGGAAGTCCTAGAAACAAGGAAATATTCTGTTTTTACTTGGTTTATGCAATGGCTTGTTACGTTATTTAACAAAAAACAGAAACAAAGCACACATTGGAAGCAGATCTCCCATCGTGTCCGTAAAGAGTAGCAACCAAAACTGTAGAGGCAGTTAGGAATCTGGCACCAGGGCTGCACTGCTACTATCCTTGAGAGACAAATACACAGTGTCTTTTTAAATCAAACTGTTCAGGGCTCTGAGTGGAGATCTGATGGAAATGGATTTTGAGGGACCAGAGAACTATACTAGCTCATTTACAAAGGGCTGAAACTAGTGGTTAGTTTTTTTCTTTCATTAAATAAAAAATATTAAGGTTAACAAAACAAGATCTCTGGTTAAATACTCACTCTGTGCATATTGGCAGGTGCACAGTGTGTCTAAACTAGTTAACTGCTCTGCTAAATCTTCATACCAACAAGCAAGAAGCATTTTGTTTTTGTTGAGAACCTATTAAAATCATACCTTTCTCCTTTGGGAATTTTGCAATCCACCATCTCTTGATTATGGTTGGTTGTAGTGATGTTCTTCTGGGACTCAGTGCCATTGCAGCTGGATGATAAAAGATTCTCTCCTTATCAAGACATGCCTTCTCTTGTCAGGCAGTGTTTTTGTTTAATTATGCAAGAAATGGTACATTTTAATAACTGTAGTGCATACAAATTCAGAACAGTTGACATGTACAGATTGAAAACACAACTCTTGTTTTACAAAAATTGCTTTTATGCTGCATCCATTTTAAGCCCTACTCTGAATCTATCTGCACTTCTTATATATAATATTGCCAAAATGTTTTTGTTTAGTCATTTTCATTGTTTGAAACAAATCTTCAAAGCTTGAAATCACTGCTTTCTCAAGGAACTTGTCATCTCCTTGTGAAAGAGAGAGCTTCCTTCTTCCCTCGCCATCTGTTTCTTATGGTACACAAGCCATCATGGCTGTGACTTCTTTACTTCATTACATCCTCATTATCTTCTAGCTCAGCAGTGGGTATCAGCATGGCTCTTGGAAAAGGATTTGTTAGTTTAATTAGTGATCACTCTATTCAGTGGCTTTGTAGCTGCACAAAAACAGTAATCCGCTATCAGATTTTAACAGTGGTGACTGCTTTTTTGTTTTTTATCGTTAGAAAGGTGGATTTGAAAATCAATGCAGAATTATTAGAATGTAGAAGACCTTCCCACAAGACTAATTATTTTAAGGTAGATAAAATATTAGACCTAAACCATGGTACATGAAACTAGGTCTTTAAAAAGCTGTTGTGTTCTGAAAAGCAGTAGCAAAAATAGCACCACCTAACTGACTAGATCTATTCCCTCTATGTATTTAGTCATGCCTAGTTTCTCAAGAGACAAATACAAATCTACTTTTATACCGTTAACTCTGAAAAACAAACACAGCTCAGCTAGAGAGCTGGATTCTGTTCTCTGTGTACCACCACAGTTATGGAACTGTTTGCAACTGACAAACCTGTGTAAATCCACTGAAGGCAGTGATGGTGCACAAGTGTCACTGAGGGCATAATTGAGCTTGTAGAACCTTTTTGACAGGTGGTGGTGACAGGCAACATATAAGGTACAAAGAATCCTGCTCTTAGACCTCTTGGTAAATTTGCAGGGCTGGCAGTTATGAAAAAACACCAATTCTATTTGTAAACTGAGCAAATCTGATCTGTAGTCATTGGCTGAAAATGGAACCTCCCTGGTGACACTTCTGCAGTTACATTTTGGGGTAGAAGCACACTTTAAGTTTACTTCCATTTTTCCCCAGCACGTACTTATGGTTATCTTTCAACATCTGTGGTTCAGCATCAGCCATCATTTCATGTCAAGTCACTGTAATGGTCAGAAACCTATACATCCACTTTTACCGTCCCATTTACCATCTTTTCCTGCCAGGCTGCAATATTCAGCCAGAACCTTTCTCTATGGACCATTGCTTATTGAGGAGACATTTGACCAAATCTCTCTCCCCTGCTGACATAGATTCTGGCAGGTTTACTATAGTGATAATCATCTTCCTGTTGGCATTGCTAAGAGGGTTTTGCAGACTTCTTGCCATGGGCACGTCATAAGATCAAGTCTCCAACTTCTGGGGCAATTGCCAGTGATGATAATGCTCGGTTTAGTATTGTACAAACTAAGCTCGAGAGGCCAGAGCATTAAGCATTATTGGCCAAGATATAACAGTGCAAGAATCTGAAAAGGGTTCACAAATTAAAATGTCTACAAACAAAATGGGGACAGAAGGCCCAGTAATGTGCAATTTTCACTTTGCAGTTTGACTAAGTGGCATAAGATTTGTTTTTTCCTGTCCACTTAGAACTAGCTTTGTTTTTTTTGGCTGCCCTAATGATATATATCTGTTGAACTGTTGTTTAAACTTATATGGCTGAGACTGCCGCAGTTAACAAGGGAATTGGGGGTTATCAGAGAGATGCATAGCAGAATGTACAGTTTTGTTGTGAATGTAGCAGAATGTAAAGTTTTCAGTGCTTGTTCACGTCCATTCCAGTCAGGCGTATAATGGCCACGGGGGTTGTAATGAGCCGCAGGCAATGCCGGTACCGCTGGCAGCGGCCCCTGCCACAGAAGCGCCAGCACCGCTGTTGCCCCTTACAGCTCTAGCACCAACCCTCCTGTCAGTGGTACCGCCGATGGCTACAGCTTCAATTCCACCGGCATCGACGATATCGGCACTGCTGGAACCAGCACCTGCCTCGGCACTGATATTTCCGCCTCCAGCGGGCCCGGCACTGCATGCTGTGGAATACCACATGTCGCGAGACCCACGGGGCGCTGAAGGGAGCGAGCAGGGTCTGCTGCCAGGCCTTTCCTCATCCTCTCTGGATGAAGCGGTGGCAGGGACGTAGACGACCCCAGCTCTGGAAGATAACAGGGCACTCCAGCAGCTCTTAAGCCATGCTGCCCAGAACCTGGGCATACAGGCGGAGGCGGTGGTGGAGGAATCAGACCTTGTTGTTGAAGCGGGGGTCTGCCACAGGGTTTTGGTCGTCTCTTCAATCGTCTTTATTAAAGGCAAGGCAACACAAGATGGACCAGGGGGTGCAAGGATGTCAGGCTTGCTGGAGGCGGAAATATCGGTGCCGAGGCAGGTGCTGAAGTGCTGGTTCTGGTGGTGCCAATATCGTCGTCTCCAGTGGAATCAAAGCTATAGTTGTCGGTGGTGGTGCTAACAGGAGGGTCGGTGCCGGAGCTGTAGGGAGCAATGGCAGTGCCGGCGGTGCCTTCAGCTCATTACAACCCCCGTGACCATTGTACGCCTGATTGGAATAGATATGAACAACACATCTCGAAGAACAGCAGTTACGAGAAGATGAGTAACTGTTTTTTGCCTCAAGTGACCAAATCTATCCTAATTGTAATTCCCCATAGCAGATTATTTTCTTTCAACATAAGATTTCAGTTAAATACGAGTTGGGGTGAAAACATCTCTGATCATACCTCCATCCTCCCTCTTTATCTGCCACAATAAAATCAATTATCACATGTAGTCAGGGCCATCTCTTGTCAGTTTCCATTCCTCAGAAAACTTAATTGTAAATCAATTCTTCATTACTCTTCCATTTTTGTCTGTAATGTCCATCCTTATATAGGCTTTCAGTTGTAATGGGGGTGGAAAATAGGTATACCCAGACAACACTGTAACTGATTGGCTTGCATTTTTCCCTTCTTTTTCCAAATCCTACCCCCAAACCAGAACTCTCCACATCAGCCAATTTATCAGTTCCGATGGTTGAGTTGATACTAAGAATCAATTAAGGTTACATCTGTGTTAATCCCAATGAGTTCAGCTATTTCATTGACTGTTCTGATTTCATTCTTGTTCCTCATAATAAAGGCAAAATATTTTTTCAGTACCTGATGACAACTGAGATACACGAGCCTCATTTATATTTACAGATGTGAGAATGGCAGGGCAGACACACCAGGGTAAAGATGTTTTGATGGCTATTCCGTGTATTGTAAATTTGCCATGTATTAAGCACGAGAACCTAGTGTCTACATCTAAGCTTCAAGGAGCACTCCTGCGTGGAATATCGTAAAACCTTAACATTATCCAAGAGACCCAGGAGAACAACAATATTTGTTCAGGAACTACTGTAGAGGCTGGTGATTGTCTTATAGGATTTCTTGGCAGTGGCTGACTTGTGCCCTTATTGTCAACTATACTCAGAATAACATGGAAAGGCTACAGAATAACTATGTTGCTGTTGCTCTCTTCTGCGTTGTCTCCTTGATCATCCTCAGGAAATCTGGGAGGAGAAGTTTGGTTTCTTTTGTCTGTGGACTTGTGGGGAACCCGTCCCATGAATTTCAGATTTGAACTTTTTAAAATATCAGCTTTTCTCATTTTCCTTTGGTTACATCTTCCAGCAGCTCAGGCTTTCCAGGGATTAAAATTGCCTGGTTACTGCAGTTGAAGTGACTCAGCATACTGAGCTGTAATTTTAATGTCTTTTCAAAACCATTTGTACACATGAAATCATTCCATGAATGGCTGCCTTATAATGTTTTGTTTTTTTCCACTTTAATTGTGAATGGTTACAAAAAATAATGTTGTTGGTTTTTTGATTTGTTTTATTATATTAAATTTTTATTAGGTGCAGTGCTTAAGAGTTGGCTTCTCATTTATCATATGAGGTTTTCTTAGAGACCATGTGAAGAGCAGAGGCACTTCAAGATAGTGCTGAAGACTAGTGCATTTTATTTTTATGTACAGTAGAACCTCGGAGTTACGAACTGATCAGTCAACCACACACCTCATTTGGAACTGGAAGTACACATTTAGGCAGCAGCAGAGACAAAAAAAAAAAAGGCAAATAAATTACAGTGCTGTGATAAACGTAAACTACTAAAAAAAGGGAAAGTTTTTAAAAAAAGATTTGACAAGGTAAGAAAACTTTTTCATTTAAATTAAGATGTTTAAAAGCAGCATTTTTCTTCTACATAGTAAAGTTTCAAAGCTGTATTGAGTCAATGTTCAGTTGTAAACTTTTAGAACCATAACATTCTGTTCAGAGTTACAAACAATTCAGAGTTATAAACAACCTCTCTTCCCAACGTGTTCATAATTATGAGGTTCTATTGTATAGGCATTTCTGTGGGGCTCATAGCCACAGAAATTAAAGCTACAAGAGAAAGCTGGTGAGAGGCAGACTGTCTGAGCTCTGTTACTGGGCAGCCCCAGAGAGCGTCTTCACCCAAGATTCCCACTAGCCAGAAAGAAGTTGGGATTACAATGAGGGGAATGAGAGTGGATGTCAGGAGCAGTATTACCAACCACAAGTATTCAATAATCATGAATTAGACACATCTGAAATCATGATTGGCTTAAAACTGACTTAAATATTAATAATCACTTATTGGCTTTTTCCTGTTTCTGATTTTTTTGAGCCTCAAGAGAGAAATAGCGAGCCCCCAATTTGCATGTGAGCATTGCAGATTTAAAAATTCAACAATAAATGCATGAACATAATGTAAGCCTCTGTGCTGACTTTTGGAGGGGACTCTACTTAGCCTCTCCTCACCTTTGGGCTGTGGAGAAGCTGCCGTTCTAATCTTCTCCATCTCTCTGTGTACACCACATTCCCCTGCAGCCTAGTTTATCTATCCTCCACATGCTCTTTCCCCCAGCACACATGCCTTCACAGCACCTCCGTATCCCTCTCTGGCTGCTGGCATTCCCACTAGCAACAATGGAAGGCAGTGGCCATCTCTGCTAAGGGCAGCCTAAACTTCCTCTTTTCAATACTGTAGGGAAACGGGAGCCCTCTTAAGTGAGGGCAGATTGTGACCATTTTGAAAAAGACTCCTTCCTGGGGTTTCTCTTGACTATATTTGCTGATGCGCATATTTTCAGTTATAAAGGCAAACAGAAAATTACCTGTGGGCCTACAGCCAAGAGGTTGTCAGAAGTTTGAAGTGGTGTCAGAGAAGTTTTGGCATATGGTTTTTGAGCAAAAAGGTACAAAAAAGATGATTTACCAGGACATACTTCTTACAGATTTGCAGATTTAATGGGAGACCCTCAGAAAATTTAGTCCTTTCTCAGATTGTATGCTATGAACTTGGGGGAGGAGACACTATATTCGTAATACAAAACAGGTTGAATCCTTGCTTAAAGTGAAAAACTTAGTGCAACCTTAACTGTGGAGTCACAACCAACACCTCCAGGCTAACAGCTTGTTTTTATCAAACTTCAGTTTGGGGCCAGATTTGACTCGAGTGACCCTTTGAAAAGGTAACGAAATTAAAATGAAATGTTTGTATGCTGTGTACAGCTAATCTGTATAATGTTAATATTTGTTTTACAGTACCCTGAGTGGGTTAGCCTCTATAGAAGACATTTTCCCTGCCCTGAAGACTTTACAATCTGCAGCCTGCAATTTGCAATGCAGGATCCATACATGAGGACCCTTACATCTGTGCAACATCCCATAGAAGTCTAAGGGACTTTGTGCATAAGGTCTGAAGGTCCACATGCCAGGATCCAAATCAAGACATGACTTTCTATTACAGGATGTTACTGAGGCAACATTTCAGTGTTTCTCCAGAGTTGTACATGGATATATATCTAAATTTTTATATTGCATTTGTCACCAGCCAGAGAGAACCTTCAGTCCTTATGACTCTTCCCAACCAGTAGGGTGATATTATATTATTCCTGCTGCCAACAATGCACACTCCCCCCTTCACAATCTTTGTTCTGCTGCTATTCTCCTCTTGCTCAAGCTGAGACTTGACATGTGTTTTGCACAGTAGCTGCTCCTGTGTCCATAGCCAAGAATCTGTCAGCGTTTCTTTTCGAAAAGTGAAACCTGTCCCTGAAGAGATTTTATAATGTTTGTTCTGAATGTTATTTATGTATTGGTTTTTAGTACATCACCCATTGCGGCAGCTCTGTAACAGTTAAAACCCACAAGCATAAGTCTCCATCTTAACTGTCTGCTGTTGTGCTTAAAAGTCCCATGTAAACAAATACACTTTGATGAGCTTTAAGGAACAATGCATACTTGGCTCTGAGAGGTGGAGAGAGAATGGAGTGTGTTCCACCAGCCAGGGGTCCTCAACCAAAAATATGCCACTGCTGGCCTTAGACAATAAAACTCTAGAAATCATCATCATGAAGAACAACCCAGTAGATCTTAACTGCTGTAATGCAACCAAGTTAGGTGGCCTCTTAGGTAGTTGACTCCTAGACTATTCAGGACTAGAATAAAAGAGCCTAGTCAGTACCTTGAATTGCACCTCGAAACATCCAAGTCCATGTCTAAGGTAACTGCATTGCAGTGATACAGATTAGGAGCATTGAACGGAGATCAGTATTGAGAGGACGGGGCTGCATTCGCTTGACCTGATGATAGGAGTCACTGCCAACTTGAATCCCATCCTACAGAGTCAAACTTGATAAGCCTTTTTTTAAAAAGTGCTCGAGAGGTGAGTGTTTTGTGGGTTACTTCACTAGTTTTATAAACCCCTTTTCTATTTCATGCACCTAGCCACCATTGGGATAGGTGTAATATAAATACATACATTTCCAGAAGAATTGGGGGGGAAATTAAGCTCTTGTAGGAGGTTCAGGCATAGCCTCCATTGTGAAAATGCCTTGAAAGCACCTCTCATTGTATGCATTCCAAAGGCAAAGCATCTGCTCTTCAAAATTATTTTCATGAATTGGGTTAAAAAAAAATCATCCTGGGCAGAGAAAGTTTAGCAGTAACTAGACAAAAGAGGGATTTCTTTCCTCCCATATCCCCTTCGGTTCAATTGCTGCACACAACCTTATCTGCGATCCTGTAACTTCAAAACTTACCATATTTTAAAACCATTTTCCACTTCCCGCTCCACCACAAGCAATAAACCCATAGTACTCTGAACTAATTGTTTGAGATGGTTGACTTTTCTGCTAGTTCAGCATAAAATTTAAAGCTGACTCATTCTGTTAGAAAAATGGCATTTCTCCATGCAAACTTAAGTACAATAATGTATACTAATAATTTATTGCTATTGTATACTCACCAGTGGGAGATCCAAGGTGAATTACTGATTTTTGCAAATTAGCTAGTGAACAAATAGAAAGGGGACTCCAGGCTAAATGCTTGACAAAATGTACTTTGTTCTTTTAATTAACAATTGTAGCTCAGGTTTAATTATTTATGATGCTTCATCATATAGTAGTAAATGTACTGTTAGAGTATTTTGTAAAAATGATGTCTGAGGAATGCAAGACCTAACCACTTGTTGAAATCATTACAGCGAGATGAGCAAGAAGAGACCACCTTTTTGTTAACTTGTTAGTGGTAACTATTGTAACATTCACTACCCCATAGTAGTTTAACTTATTGCCGTATTTTCTATAAATACAACAGTAAATGTGACATTTGTTTTGGGGGCAATCACTGTACAAGGTGTGTACATTCATGAACGGCTGTATTTTTATCAGCGTTTTTTCAGATGCTCTTAGGGCATGTGCACAGCAGGAAGAATGAGCTGAGCTGTTAGTTTGTGTCAATGTGCAAATTAAAATGTATTACCGATGTGTGCAAGTCTTAACAAAATATCCCTCCAGACAGAATTACAGCAGGTGCTACCGTTCTTTTTGGAGCATTTTCTCTGTTGCCTAAGGTGTCTATTCGTTAACTATCAGCTATATTAGAAGGCATGATAAAAAAAATCCCGATTGCCTAAGGCTTGTGGGGACTACATAATGAAAAGTGAGATAACAATGGCTAAAATCTAAAATATAAAGAATATAAAAATAAACCTAAAAAGCCAAACAATGTGAAATAAGGGAGTAGTGTTAAGATGTACAGTTTGTGTTTTGCACAATATGTTAATCCAGTGACTCAAGTGATTATTTCAGTGTGAACACAGTCTAAATTGGAGTCCACGGAACGCCTGTGATTTGCCTACTGGAATTTGGGGATAGAAAAAGGAGATACTGTTGCAATTAATGTGCTAGCCAACACCATTGCCACTAATCTGGTTTGTCTGTTATACTTGAGAGTTATTAGGAGTTGACTTGAGAGCACCATTCCCAAATTGGTGGGAGTGACTGGAGAATAGCTAATTTGCCTGTGTTTAAGAAAGGGGAAGACAGTGATCTGGGCAATTTGCAGGCCTGTTAATCTGACCTCAGGAGTATGTAAGGATTTAGAAGAAATAGTGAAGGAAGGAATAATTAAATTCATGGAGGTAAATGGTAAAGGGGATGTAATGCAACATGGGTTTACCAAAGGTACATCATGCCAGTGTAACCTGATTTCCTTCTTTGAGAAGAATTTTTTTTATTTTAGATAAGAGAAATGCAGTAGATCTAACATGCTTGGACTTCAGGAAAATAGTTTGTGCGGTACCCCACATGGTACTAGGGAAATTATTTTGTTACATATGGGAAGATACAGATCAGTACAAGAGTTATAAGGCAATTAAGGAACTGGCTAAAGGGGAGAAGGCAATGGATTGTGCTGAAAGGTGAATTATCGGACTGGAAGGACATTACTAGTGGAGTTCCTCAAGGATCAATCTTGGGATCAATCTCATTCAGTATTTTTATTATTTATATTGGCACATAATGTAGGAGCATGCTAATGAAATATGCTGATGGTACAGAGTTGGGTGGCATCATCAATGCAGAGGAGGATCAGAATATTACACAGAAAAATCGGGATGCCCTTGAAGACGGGAGTGACAGAAATGGGATGAAATTCAATAGTACACAGCGCAAGGTCATGCATTTAGGCTCTAATCAGAAGAATTTCTGCAACAAGCTGGGGTCTCATCAGTTGGAAGCAACGGAGGAGGAGAGAGACCTGGGTGTGCAGATCCATCACAGGATGACTATAAGCCAACAATGTGATGTGGCTGTGAAAAAGGCAAATACATCCTAGGATTGCATCAGGTGAGGCATTTCCAGTAGAGAGAGAGAGAGAAATCTATGCCTTGCCCAATGGCATTAATATAAGACCTCATTTGGAATATTCTGTACAGTTCCAGTCACCCACCTTCAAAAAAGATGGATTTAAATTGTAATAGGTGCAGGGAAGAGCTACTAGGATGATCAGGGGACTGAAGAGCCTATCTTATGAGAGGAGACTTAAGGAGCTTGGCTTGTTTAGCCTAACCAAAAGAAGGCTGAGAAGGGATATGATTGCTCTTTATAAATACATTGGGGGTGGGGGGTATTTAAATACCAGGGAGGGTGAAGAGCTTTTAAGCTAAAGGATAACATTGGCATAAGAACAAATGGATAAAGATTTGCCATGAACAAATTCAGGCTAGAAATTTCAAAACGGCTTCTAACCATCAGAGGGATGAGGTTCTGGAACAGCCTCCTAATAGGAGATATGGGAGCAAACAACTTAATTAGTTTCAAGAGAGAGCTGGACACATTTGAGTGCAATTGCATGACAGGATTGCTTGTGATGGTAGGGGGCAGGGCTTCCAAGCTTGCCCCGTGTTCATGTCTTATGTATGTAAAGCTCATGCATCAGGATTTCAGCCAGCCAGGGATCTTTCCTCACTCAGTACATTGTTGTTTGTTTGTTTTTGTTTTTTCTTTAGATCTCCTTCCTCTGAAGCATCAGGGATGGCCACGGCTGGAGATGGGACAGTGGGTGGGGAGGGCCAGTGCTCCGAGGAGGCACTGAGCATTCTCTCTCTCTCTGTTACTTGCCTGACTGGTTCTTGCTTGCAAGCTCGTAGTCTAACTTATCACCATATGTGGGGTCAAGAAGGAATTTCCCCCCAGGTCAGATCAGCAGAGACCTTAGGGAATTTTCGCCTTTCTCTGTAGTGTGGAGGAGCGGGTCACTTGCTGGGATTATCTGGGTATATTACTATCATTTTCCTGCTATAACGGTCTGCAAGTGCTGGTTCACCTCAAGGTTTCCTATTCTGTGCGTCTGGTACAGAATAGACGAGTCTCCTGTGAGCTGTATAACTTTAGTCTAATTTTGGTTGCTGAGTTTAGTGTGTGGGGGTGCTGGTGGCCTGTGATACACAGGAGGTCAGACTAAATCTAGTGCAGTGGTTCTCAAACTGTGGGTAGGGACCCCAAAGTGGGTCGTTACCCTGTTTTAAGCGTTAGACTTGCTGGGGCCAGGGGCTGAAGCCAAAAGTCCAAGCCCCACCACTCAGGGCTGAGGCCAAAGCTCAGGTTACAGCCCCCACGGGCTGAAGCTCTCAAGCTTCGGCTTTCTCCCCCCTGCCCAGGACGGAGGGGCTCGGGCTTCGGTCCCCCTTCCCGGGGTCATGTAGTAATTTTTGTTGTCAGAAAGGGGTTGCGGTGCAGTGAAGTTTGAGAACCCCTGATCTAGTAGTCTCTTTTGGCCTTCAGCTCTATGACTCTGACTGTTTCAATCTCTTCCCAT